TCCACGCTGCCATCTCCAGCACAAATGCTGATGGGTTGAAATATTTTCACACTGCTTTCGTACATCCAAAGTTACTAACTCCAAACTACCCAACGAAAGCCCACCAGCAAAAACTTCAAACATGTCAAATAGAAAAAGGAACAAAAAAACACGCAAGCATGTTTATTGCCTGCATGACGGAGAAGGTGTATCTGATCCCCCTGTCCTGCGGGGCCAGGTACATTGGGCAAACGGGGCGATGCCTCAACGACCGACTCTGAGAGCATCACATGGACGCCGAAAAAGCTGCTTCGGATTCCCGACACCCGATCATCGTGCACGGGAGGAACTGCCCTGGCTCTGCGCCTAATTTCGCCGGCACGGCAACCATGGGGGGCCACCGCGAGTATGTTGAGCGAGAAATAACTGAGGCCTATTGGATGGCGACAAACCAGCAAAACATAAGCACCCCTTCCATTTTGCTCTCAAGAAAGGAGAAGATATTTCTGAGGCCACAATGGAAGTCGAACGTTGACAGACACGGCAAGACGACAACGTCACGAGCAGAGACGGCCATTCCTTTCATTATCCAGCACTTCCCATCGGGCCCAACCTTCCCCATTCTCCCTTCCTTGTTTGGCCACCTCCTCACTTTCATCCACCTCCTGTCATTCCCCCTGCTTTCCCTTTCCCATCCTCCCACAAAGCGGGTGGGCTTTGAGCTTGAAGCTGAAAATAAATGTTGTGGAAGTTGAAAGATTGCCCCGTCTGTATCGTCCCTTATGTGTCTCCTCTTTCTAAATGTTTGAAAGCACCAACACGCTCAAATAGTACAAGAGTACAAGCATGGAGACCAGAACACATCCACCATGAAACCGCTGAAACCGGTCTATCTATGCTGGTGGCGCAAACTTCATTGCAAAGAAAACTTCACCAGTCGCCCATTGGCTGCTGCACCTCAGGACGAGGTGCGACGTCACAGTCAAGTTCTGGCGATAAAGTTTGGTGCATGCTCGTCAAAATTGTGAAGTTTGCCTTGACGTCAGAATGTCGTCACGATGAAGTTGTTTCCGTAAAGAAAACTTCGAGAGTTTGGGAACTCGAAGTTGGGAAAGTTTATTGGTAGAGATGGCGGAACTTTGCTGAGTGCTGCTGCTGAGAACACTACGACGCTTTTCTGCTCTCGGACGATAGGTTTGTTGCGAACTACCGACTCACGAGGGGAGCGACGAGGTGGCTATGTGAGCAGCTTCGCCTCGACCTTCAACAAGACCTCACGACCATGCGCGTGATCGCCATTGAGCAACAGACGTTGTGCGCCCTGCGATTCTACATGACCGGTCGATTCCAAAGAATGGCGGCTAACGACGAGCACTTGGTGGTGCATCAAAGTATGGTGTCTCGGGCACTCCACGCCATCACGACCCCAATCATCAAGCGCCTGGTGGATCGCTGGATTCGTTTTCCAGCAACGGAGGAGGAGAAAGCCAGAGCAAAGGAGGGCTACTGGGGAGTCACCAAAATCAGCGGCGTTATCACTACGTAATGGGTGATTTTGTTGATTCAACGTGTTCAAGACCTGTCAGGAAAAGATATGCATGCATTTTCGAGCGGTCGTCGAAGGACGATGGCTCACGGAATGCTCGCGACGTGCTCGGGACAGGAGTGCGTTTTTGCGCCGCTCCTTTCAGGCCACTGAACTCTCACTTTTTGTAAACAGATTTACCTATAACTGGATCCAATAACCCTATGATGTCACAGGTTGCATAAACAGCACCCAAATCGCCATCAAAGGCCCATGTTTGAGAATGATCCTCGCTTCACCAAGGCAGCCTACTGTTGTAGGTACTACTATGCCCTGAATGCGATGATTGCGAGTACTGAGTTTATCTACTGCATGTGTGACCCAGCATCGAGAGGCATCGGTGCCTAGTACGATTAACCCATCTAGCGGTGTCAGTTTGTGACAGAACTATCTTTCCCCTCCCAATAACCCACAAGTATATTTTTTGGGTCAATAATATTCACACTTATGGGCCAACTTTTCCAAGTTTGTGATGCTGACCTCTCAAGATTCAGAACGTCAATGCCACGTTTTAACTCTTGCACTTTCTTCGAGTCACGTGCACTGGCGCCAGACGCCAGTGCACGAGATGGCTAGTGCAGTCTCGTGCTTGGCTCACACAGAGCTCCAAGAGGTGGTGTCGCACATGCATAAAAACTGCAGCTCCTATGATTCATGCTGGCAGCGGCAGCCTAACAAAACTAATTAATGAGATCAGTCTATTGAGCAAGATATGTACCAACGCAAGGGTTACCAACAAGTTCACAATTACCCACATCTGGTGTGGGCGCTGCACAAGCACAGACCCACACCACAATTAAAGAAGTGAACTGTTTATGCACGTGCTACCCTGTCGCAGCAATGTGATGTCAGAGCCGCACATTAGTGTGTATCTAGAATCACCATGACTGCCACTCCTTTGTTTACAAAGGTGTTTGCTTGCAGGTGCTGACAAATACAGTATACTGGGTGCAGTAGTGTAGCCAGGGAAAGAAGCTTAAAGGGGCCCTGCATACATATTTAAGCGTCTACCCTTTTTGCGGTTTCCACATCCCTCGGTGTTCGGGCAAGCCAGCGGGCACGGAGAGAGTAACTAAATATCAGTGCGTCATATTTTAACCGGACGACGCGGAAACCTCCTCCTGTGACGAGGGCGACCCGTGATACCGAAAGCGCGCAAAATTTGACGTCTTTGGTCCTGGGCTTACTACTGGTCAAAGCCGCTAAAAGCTTCTTCTTAGTCGAAATACAAAATATAAGTAGCGCGAACCGTTTGAATTATTTATAAAAGTAGTTTTTGTTCAGTATTTTAGATCAGAAAAGAAACGAATGCAGTTTATAAAGTACGGAAACAAGAAATGACCCGTCGACATACCCGCCACCAAGCGGTGGAAAAGGCGGCGCATACTGGAAAGGAGTAGTGGGATCAGGCGCCGACATGAAAAGGTCCCGGATGTGTGCGGCGGCGCTGCGGTCGTATGGACAGGAGGATCCGACCGGCTCCGAGCGTTCCGAAGGCCTTCGGCGAGAAGCTTTGCCTTGCGGTTTCGCCGTTTTGCGGTATGGCAGCGCGAAGTGGCTCCTATTCTGACCTGATCTTTACCCCGTGTTTGCTGCCGTTTGTGGCAAATGAAGTGTCATGCCAAATTAGAGTTTAATCGCGCAGAAAATGCAATAAGAGCTGCTCTGGCCGTCCGCTGCATACAGCGCCGTCGACACGGAGTGCCGCAGCCATGAGCACTCGATGAGCTCACTCCGCCTCCTCTAGTTCACGGCCACTCAAGCAACCAAGGACGTCATGAGGGAGGATATTTTTTGCTTGTTTTTGTAATTCTAATTTGCCAATAACTTTTAAAATAAATCGAATTTCGAGAAAAGAAAGGTTTCATTAAGTTATTATGTTCAGTGCGCTCAGGTTCGGTGCAAATTAAAAACCAGTAAAAAAGTCCTTGCAGGGCCCCTTTAATGGGCTGAAATGTCCCCCCCTGACCCCAAAATGTAGCCAACCCTATAACGTACATATATGCATGATGCATTTTCCATCACTCCACAACTCATAGAGATCCCAATACCATAACACCCACTCCCAATAAAGAACAGATTCCTCGCTACACCACTGACAGGGAGATGCAGACACCTTTGTAGCATGACAGATCGGTTCCCTTCTTTGCCCGACGTTCATAACGGAGGATAAGCGTGTGGTGAACTTAAGCCAGAAATTGAAATAACAGCAAACCATTGGAGCTCGCTAGTATGCTCTCTTTGCAAAACCATTATAGACTCAATGCAGGAGACAGTGGGTATCCTCTTAAACCGTGGTCCCTCAAACCCGTGCCAGGCAACCCTTCAGTGGGATCCGACGAGGCTTGCTTCAACCAGACTCATCGATCAACAAAATTCGTGGTTGAGCGGTGCATCGGCATGCTGAAGAACCGGTCCCAATGCTTGCGGAGGTACCGAACCTTGCACTGCAATCCTATCAAGTCGTGCAGCATCGTCACTGCTTTTTCCATCCTGCACAATGTGTGCTTATTCATCAATGCACTCGAACCAACCCCCGAGCCAGAGCCAGTTTCTGTCGTTGAGCCAGAGTCGAGCGATTTAAGCGACAGCGACAGCGACGACCCCTTGAGTGGGAGTCCTCACGACCAGGGCATGGCTGTTCGCCAGTGGAAAGTATGGCTGATGGCAAGCTATGCAACTCGCAGGGGCTCATCAATATCGCATCGAACTTCTCAACCAGCCTACGCACCACATGCCCCAAGAGCCCCTCCGTCGACAGCGGACCCTCGTGCACAGCGAGCCCCTCGTGAACAGCGAGTGCCTTGTGCACAGCAGGGACTGCAGACTGTGCAGACGTCGCACCCAACTTGAGAGCTGCACCACAATGCCCGTGTCAGTGATGCAATTGATGCGAGTCATTTTGGAGCACCTTTTGGAACAGCCAAAAGTCCATTTTGGAGCAGCAAAAAACAGTGTGGGATCACGAGCAAACCCTTTATTCCACTGCAAAAACTATTTCAAGATTCATGCATTGGCCTGTCCAAAAAAAAAGAAAACAGTACTTCGAATTTGCCTTTTCATTTCTGTACAATGACTTGCTAACATCCACAGCGAAGCATATAATTAAATTTGGAAGGTGATGTAGCAATACAAAACTGTCGCAAAGATAATGGCTGAGTTCTGTGTAAGCCCTGAGCTCCCTTCGCTGCAGAAATGGACTGTGCTTCGCCTTCTGCATGACATTGGCTTCGAGCGAAAGAAGACTGGTCAAAACTCGCGCATGATCGAGCGAGACGAGATCATCACGTGGCAAGAGAGGTACTTGCGGGACATTGCACGTCACAGGCAAGAGGGTCGGCAGATCTTCTACCTCGATGAAACGCGGGCGACGGCAGGGCACACTGTCTCGACGGTATGGGTGGACTGCACCGTGACCTCGTCCCACGACGCCTTCATGAGGGGTCTGACGACGGGCCTGAAGCCGCCGTCGGGGAAGGGCCAGTGCCTCATCGTCACGCACATCGGCAGCGAAGACGGCTTCGTCGCTGGGTGCCTGGACGTCTTCCGCGGAGTAAAGACCGGCGACTACCACAAGGAGATGAACGGCACACGATTTGAGACGTGGTTCGAAGCTGTTCTTCAGATGCTGCCGACAGGGAGTGTCATCGTAATGGACAATGCTTCCTACCATTCTCGGCGGTTGGAAGCAGTGCCAACGACGGGTTCCCGGAAGGAAGTGATCCAGCAGTGGCTCACGTCAAAGGACATCTCGTGGGATGCCAAGAAGAAGAAGCAGCTCCTTGCAATCGTGGCGTCAGTCAAGCCACCATATTTGAAGTATCGCGTCGATACTGCTGCAGAGAAGGCTGGTTGTACGGTAGTGAGACTTCCACCCTACCACTGTGAGTTCAACCCCATTGAACCCATCTGGGCACAGATCAAGAACGGCGTTGCAGCCAGGAACACAACGTTCAAGATCAGCGACATTGAAAGGCTGCTCAAGGAAGAAGCCGAAAAGGTCACGGCTGACAACTGGCGCAATGCTGTGAGGCATGTCGTTGGAGTGGAGGAAGGCTACAGACGAGGCAGTGCTACAAGTGCCCATGTAGAGCCGATCGTCATCGAACTGGGTGAAGACGACACATCTGAGAGCGACCTGTCTGGTGTGGAGCCGCTCGAGGAAGTGTGAAGCCTACACCTTCAACTTCAACAACTTCAACCGAAGACTGAGGGGGACCCAGATCAACATGACCAAAGCATGTCGACTTGTAATCGTCATCAAAGATCATGGGCTGCCCTTGCGCCCATCACTACATCTGCGCTGTACGTCTGTAAACATGTTTTAAGTGTGTTCAGTTCATACCGATCATCATGAAACAGATCAAAATAATGGAATTCGGTTAACAACATGAAACTGAAAAGAGCTAACAGCAGTGGCATGCACAGTGACTCCACCTTGCAGAAAAGAGAAGCGAAGTACAAAACATTATCATGACTGCGAGGGTCGATTCGTTAGTTCCATAACTATTTGTTCTTCTTTTGCGAACCTTCTTCGACCTGCTATCATTATTTTTAAGCTGTTTCTCTGGCCGTGTCGTTCTCCAGTTGCTGCTGCTCCTGTCCACTTATATTCGTATTATCTTCTCTTTTTTTTTATGGGGGTTCAATATAAAGGGGTTGACTTATTTTCGAGTAAATACGGTGCCCGACTTGCTTCTGGAACTGTTTTTGCTTGGAATGAATGGTATTCTTTGGTTTTAAGGTGCTCTGGTTTTCACAGTCGAGGGCATAGCAGCAGTGTTGTTTCTCTTTTTGGTAGTGTTGCAGTGTCTCAAGTTGGTTGACCCCAGGGGCCCATGATTTAGGGGTGCAAGTCAGGGTTTGAAATATCTCGCACACTGACCAACGTCTCCTGCACGGTGATAACCAAAATGACACCAGGGAAAGGTTTGAGTCTCAAATATCACTGGCTTTATCAGGTTGCTATTCTGACGGAAGGCACTATGGCAATCATGCTACCTTACGACTGATCACGACGAAAACTGAAAACGGCAGGCTTGTCATATAAATGAATACCGCTGACAAACCCATTTTCGCAACGTTTATTTGTTTGCTGTAGCACCACCAAAAGTGTGGACGACGTCTGGTGAAGCAACTCTGTGCTGGAAGTTTTCATGCTGATCTCACGCAAGGTATATATACAGGGTGTCCCAGCGTGCTGTTCCGTCGTAGAATGGACCACATAGATCGGTCGGTGAACGGAGCCTGATGAAACTTTCCACGAAGGTGTATTTGGATACACCTTCGTGGACATTTATCATACTAAAATTTCATGCCTAGGTTTCCTAAATGAAAAGCGAGAAAAGAAAAGCCGTAAATCTCTATGGGCAGGCAGACTGGGAAGCGGACCGCGTCCCAGTCTTCACGGATTTACGGCATTTCTTTTCTCGCTTTGAGTTTAGAAAACCTAGGCTCATTAAAATTTAGTATGATAAATGCACCGTCTAAATACACCTCCGTGGAAAGTTTTATCGCGCTCCGTTCACAGACTGATTTACGCGGTCCGTTCTACGACGGAACCGTGCGCTGGGACTCCCAATATACAGATCTCACCGGCGACTGATAAGCACGGCAATCTCAGCTCACCCCGCGGAAACCACAGCGAATTGAAGCAGCGGTGCCGGTACTATGTTGAGTAGCAACGTGGGGCAGAGGCGACAGAAATCCAACGAAGCAGACGACGTCCGGTGTAGCTTCTCACCTCTCAGCAGTGCTAAGCCTCGCGCCCCCTTCGAAATTTTCGTTGGCGATAGCATCGCTGGATTCTCACGTTGTCGCGCAAAAACTGCTGCAAACGCAAGCCGATACCATTAAGATTTCGTGGCGAAACCTCGGGCACGTAAAACACGGTGCAAAAAAGCAGAATAATTGTCACGAGAAACTAGCGTCGCATTGCTAAGGCCAGAAGCCATGTTGAGCTTTTTTTTTTTTTTCAAAAGGATTGCGATTGGTCCACGGAATCGTGACGTCATGAAAACGATTGGCTGGCGTTTCTCGGCGTAGGATTACATTTCCCTCTAAAAGGCATTTCCGTTTTTTTCTTAGCTTGCAACTGACTATAATAAATATGCCATAAAAATATAGCTAAACTTATGAATGGTATTTTCAAGCTTTCATTCCACACTATGTCAACTGAATTTTAATTTAAACTTTATTGACTGTGTCCACAAACATTTGGGGGCCTATTCAGAAGTGCTAACTAAACATTAAGAAATAAACCTACGGTGCAGCCCAGCTACACCTAATCACTATGATTAATCAACCCTTTCCCAATAACAAAGTTCCAACTGCCCTTCCTTAAATCTCAATTAAAAAAAACAACAAAAAAAAACATAATTGCAACAAATGATGTGTGCAAGTTGTGAGAATGCTGCAGTCATATATAAACTAAACACAATTTTATTGTACAAATTTTACTGCCACGTTTATGTTGTGAATCGGCATTCGCTTTTATTTTATTTATTTTTTTTTTTTTTTAGACACGATGCAGGGTTGTGTACTATTCCACCCTGGAAGAGAGTTTACTCCTCAACAAAAGTTTGCGCTGCGGCGAAGCCACTCCGTGAGCGTAGCTTCTCTGCAGTGCACCAGTGCGCAGTAAGAAGAGCGCTCAACGGAACCAATTAGACCACCCGAACAGGCGACAAATAATGAAAAATAATCCTGAACTTCTGAGTACTGTGTTGTGACAATTGTAACAATCGTACAGTGTAGCAACGACTCAGCTATTTGTTTCTGTTCTAATAAAATTAAATGAGCTTTGAAGAGATCAGGGCCAACCGAGAGAACTTCCCACTAAACAACGTTGTTAAAGCTCTGTGAGTTCCAAGTGAAAAAAGCACTGAAAAGAGCTGTAGCCAGCAGCAAGGGTGACAGTGACAAACAGATGGTGAACAGTCTCTTGGTAAAATCGCACTGTCAGTGAAGGCTTCGGAGAGTACTACAAGAAGAACTGGGAATCCATCAAACACATTTGTACGCTACCGCTGCGACCAGCATTTCAACTTCGAAAAAAACACTATGAACTGGGTAGAATGCCAAAACTCAAAACTGAAAGCAGTTTTGAAGGCCAGTGACAAGATTCACATATCTCTGAAGTCTATTCTGAAGCTTTGCAATTCAAGATTGTAGAAAGCCCTCAATTCCACGACATAATTCTTCACATACAATCTTGGTCATTGAGGGATAGTAACTTGCAAGAACAAGGCAAGAGAGGCTTTGTACTGGCCTACCATGAACGCAGGCATTGGAGCGTTAGTAAAAACTGCACCACATGCCATGAGCATCAGAGAGCTAACCCTCACAACCCCCTTTTTGACCGAGCGCTACAAAGTCTACCTGGGCAGAAGCTGGGAATGGACATCTTCCACCTTGGAGGGATGAATTACTTGTTGGTCACTGACTACTATTCAAAGTACACTGAACTCAAGAACATTGTCTCGACCACAGCAGCAGCTCTGGTGAAACCCTGAAGAAGATCTATGCTCGGTTTGGGATCCCTCAAAAGTTCATCACTAGTTCGTCAGGAGTTCATCAAAAGTTTATCAGGACAAGCAAGAAATATCGACACTGGGACAATGTCAAGAAGGCGCTGTCCAACCACATTTGGTATGTGAGAAGATTGCATGTTTCGAGCTCGATCAAGATGATGAAACTACGGAATGTGACTGTGCCCGACGTTTGGATGTATATCCAGGTTGATTCGGTGTATCAACCAAGTGTAGTGAACCCTTGTAAAGAACAGCTGTCGGAAAGAACAGAAGCAATCCTGGAAAAAGGTCCTAAGTTTTGTATGAATGTAAAGCCTTCTTCCAGACTGGATGTGTTTTCCGCGGTCCAGACCGTTGCACAGTAAGTGAATCATGATGAAAGAGTTTCATTTGTCGATCAAACTGTAGGGGGATTAGGAACGGCTATGGGGGACGCATTCTTGTCGGAGAGGAGGAATTTCAAATGTGTAAACATGGTGAAGAGGGAGCTGGAATCAAAGTCTTTAAAACTCCTTCAAACGGATAAGTCTGGAAGGTTTGCTGTCCTCCCGGAGCAGGTATTCCGGAGAAAGACAGACTATGCTTTGGGGTCGTTGTTCAGGGAATGGAAAGGAAACTTAGGAAAGTTATGGAGAGACATTTGTAACGTACTAAAAGATGAGGAAAAGGAAAGTGTAGTGAAGAGCATCACGGCCCAATCCAAGACGACTCTGTTATTAAAATATGACGACCAACCAATCCCTAAATCAGGGGCCCAACGTTTCGAAACCGGTTCGGCTTCTTCTTCAGAGACGACTATAGAGGAAAGGAGTCGTAATCTTTTTTCTCAATAACGGAGGCAAATGTGCACGATCCCATCTTCCTCTTTGATCGTTTTTTGATTTAGGGATTGGTTGGTCATCATATTTTAATAATCATTTCCCCAAACAGACAGACTTCTGTCTAATGTTTACTTTTAAGACGACTCTATGTTTGAAATCCTTTCTAAAAAACCACAAGGTTGGCATGCCTCTCCGAATTGTTATAAATAAAATTGGCACTTGGCAGAAGATTGTCTCTTCTTTTTTCCAACGTGGGTTAGGGCTAATCTCTTTGGATAACTCTCTATCCTTGAAACATTCTGGAGAGCTTATTGATGTCCCATGAGAAGCAATCATGGAAGAAAGTGTACAGTTTTCTCAATGGACATAAAGGATCTATATTATTCTCTTGAAAAGAAAAGACAGATGTCGGCATTGAAGGAACTGTTAGAGTTAAATCTACCTAGTGAAATTTCAGTCAGAGTCGGGAGTGTCGGTAGATGGTTTTCTCGTAGTTCTGGACCGATACCTGCAGTCAACAATTATTGAATACGATGAACGGATGTATGTACAGCAGGAGGGTGTCTGTATAGGCTCGTCGGTCGCGCTGCTTTTGGCCGAGTTTTATCTCAACGCCCTAGACAAAGCTGTGATTGAGAAGATGAGAGAGTTGCCACCACATGTAGGTGTTGTTCGAAGATATGTAGACGATATAATTGTGTGCACTTTTCAAGATAACCTTTCGGATTCTCTACAAAATGTAATAAGTTCAGCGGCTCCGGAGCTGTGTTTCACTGTGGAAAAGCCGGAGGAGAATGTCATTAAATTTTTGGATTTAC